ATGAGGAAGTATATTCCTCTAGAAATTGTGTGTTCATAAATTTACTAATCTGCTACAGAACACTAGTATATGACAGTGCTATGGACTCAATGTTTGTGTCCCCCCCCAAATTCATATGTTGAAATCCTGACCCCTAATGTGATTGTATTAGAAGGTGGAGCCTTTGGTAGGTTATTAGGTCACGAGGGTAGAGTCTTCACAAATAGGATTGGTGCCCTTAAGCATTCTCTGCCTGTTTCTATTCTGTAAATACATGTAAAGCCCTGATAAATTTCCCCAAATGTCATTGTTACAAACCTATTTGTATCTTTACTACCGAGCATATCCTGGGAAAATTTTTTATTTGAAATCACACGGTTAAGAGTTCAGAATTGGTTAGAAGAGTAGGGAATGCCTTACGCTAATATATCTACGATGACATATTTGTGTTCCTGTAGTGTTAAGGAAAGGAAGGCAATGGATATTCAACAGCAGCAACAATAATAACAACAATTAATCTAAAGAAACTTAAAAGAAAATATGACTAAATATTTACCCACTTTTGGCATTTGAGTTTTGCTTTCAATTATTTAAACTGGATTTCCTGAAGTATTTAATTTGAAATGTGAATATCTGTTCTCTTCAAGTGATACCTTTTTCCTTTACTGATTTTAATGTGTTTTCTGTAGCTGTAATAAGCCATAACCAGGTGTCTGACAGCTTTTCTGAGTCCAGAAGCACAGAATGCTCTGTGAAAGACCATGATCCGTTCTCTCCCCATCAACACCTTTTTATTTGTTCTGTACCCCATTTATTTTGTCCAGAAGCACACACACAGACCTTAGGCCTATTAAAGTTGTGTTTTGGCTTAGTTTCGGTACACATATCCTTTAAATACAGCAGTTATTAAAAATTATTTTAGGCAATTAGAAAGGGTAAAGAGTTCTTGGTGGAATTTTCCATTGATAAAAAGCGACCCCCAAACCATTTCTTTTCTAACAGAAAGCGGCCTGAAACGTCAAGCTGCAAGCATAGCTATGCAAGCTAGCTTTCATATTGAATACCAGCAGCTGTACCTGGAAGCCAGGCACATTCAATATGGCGATTCTCGCTCCCTTTTCTTTGTGACCACGTGTGTGGGTGTCATGGCACCAGCGGGGTAAAGTCACATGTGCAGGTGTCATGGCAACAGTCAGATAGAAGCCACAATTGCATAATAAAATATTAGGGTTGGAGGGCCAGTCTTTTCATGGGCTATGTAAATGGAACACCTGGTCAAACCAATCCCCTGGGCCCTATGTAAATCAATCACCGCCTCCTCAAGCCTCCGTACAAAATTGATCACGTTTTGCCCCAAACCCGGAAACCCTCTCTCGGGCGACCTGCTTTCTCAGCATGAGGAAGCTTATTCTGTCTCTCTTCCTTTTTGTCTGTTAAACTTTTTGCTCCTTAACCCACTCCACGTGTGTGTCCATGTCGTTAATCATCAGCGTGAGACAGCTAACCACAGGTATTTCCCTAGACGAAGCCGTTTCACTTTGAATGGTTTGGCACTATTGTCAAATATCATACTTGTTATAAGTCTATGCAGATTTTCTATTTATTCTTGAGTCAGTTTTGGTAGCTTGTATGTTTGTAGGAATTTTTTTCAATACATTAGGGCATCTAATTTGTTGAAATACAATGTTCATAGTATTTCCTTATAATCCTTTTTATTTCTGTCATATCAGTGGTAACATCCCCTCTTCTAAAAAATAATTTCAACTTTTATCTTTGATTCAGGGGATACATGTGCAGGTTTGTTACATGAGTATATTGCATGATGTTGAGGTTTGAGATATGAATGGTCCTGTCATTCGGATGGGATACTAGTGAACATAGTACCCAACAGTTAGTTTTTCAACCCTTGCCCCATTCCCTACCTTCCCCCATCAGTCCCCAGTGCCTATTACTGCCATCTTTTTGTCCATGAGTACCCAATGTTTAGCTACCACTGTAAGTGAGTACATGCAGTATTTGGTTTTCTGTTCCTGTGTTAATTAACTTAGGATAATGGCCTCCAGCTGCATCCATGTTGCTGCAAAAGACATGATTTCATTCTTTTTTATGTCTGCACAGTATGCCATGGTGTATATGTACCACATTTTCTTTATCCAGTCCACCCTTGATAGGCATCTAGGTTGAGTCTACGCCTTCACTATAGTGAATATTGCTGTGATGAATATATGAGTGCATGTGTCTTTTTGGTAGAACAGTTTATTTTCTTTTGGATATATGCCAGTAATGGGATTGCTGGGTCAAATGACAGTTCTGTTTTAAGTTCTTTGAGAATTCTCCAAACTGCTCTCCAAAGTGGCTGAACTAATTCACATTTCCACCAACAGTGTGTAAGTGTCCTTTTTTTCTGCAGCATCACCAGCATCTGTTGTTTTTTGACTTATTAATAATAGCCATTCTGATGGGTGTGAGATGGTATCTCATTGTGGTTTTGATTTGCATTTCTCTGATGATTAGTGTGATGATTAGTGATATTGAACATTTTTTCAAATGTTTGTTGGCCACTTGTATGTCTTATTTTGAAAAATATCTGTTCATGTGTTGTTTGCCCACTTTTTAATGGAGTTACTTGTTTTTTATTTCTTGAATTATTTCCTTATAGATTCTGGATACTAGGCCTTTGTTGGATGCATAGTTTGTGAATATTTTCTCCCATTCTGTGGGTTGTCTATTTACTCTGTTTATAGCTTCTTTTGCTATGCAAAAGCGCTTTAGTTTACTTGGGTCCCAATTGTAAATTTTTGTTTTTGTTGCAATTGCTTTTGAGGATTTACAAACTCTTTCTCAAGGCTGATGTCCAGAATGGTGTTTCCTAGATTTTCTAGGGTTCTTATAGTTTGATGTCTTACATTTAAATCTTTAACCCATCTTCAGTTAATTTTTGTATATGATAAAAGGTAGGGGTCCAGTTTCATTCTTCTGCATATAGCTAGCTAGCTATCTCAGCACCATTTATTGAATAGGGAGTCCTTTCCCCATTGTTCATTTTTGTAGGAGATCAAATGGCCATAGGTGTGCAGCTTTATTTCTGGGCTCTCTATTCTGTTCCATTGGTCTATGTGTCTGTTTTTGTACCAGTATTATCCCCTCTTTCATTTCTTATTTTAGTTTTTGATATTCTCTCTTTTTCTTAGTCTGGTTAAAAGTTTGTCAACTTTGTTGATCTTTCTGAGAACCACATTTTGGTTCTGCTGATTGTTTATACTGCTTTCCTATTCTCTATTTTGTTTATTCTTGGAAGCAAAATTTATTCAAAGACCTGGGCAAACATTCTTAAATATCTGTGAGCCGTAATAAAGAAATCAATGTGCTTTATGTTCTTAGCTCCCACAATTTAGCCTAAATATTTGCCCTGGCATGCTTATACTGGTCCAAGCAAGCATTAGGCCATAGCCTGTTCCCTTTCCTTATTTGAAGGTGTTTTTACCTTTCTCGGCATTCCATAAATTACTTCCTCCTTCCTTTGTTCTCCTCTGCCTTTGCCTCTCATAAAAAATTCTAAGTTGCTAGCCAGTCGGGACTAATACAGAATGTGAGGTTCCATTCCAGTCAATGGAAACTGGACACAGCAGTAGTGTGTCCACAATTGGTGGGTTCTTGGTCTTGCTGACTTCAAGAATGAAGCCGTGGACCATCGTGGTGAGTGTTACAGCTCTTATAGGTGGCGTGTCTGGAGTTGTTCATTCTTCCCGGTGGGTTCATGGTCTCGCTGGCTTCATGAGTGAAGCTGCAGACTTTTGCAGTGAGTGTTACAGCTCATGAAGGCAGCGTGGACCCAAAGAGAGAGCAGCAGCAAGGTTTACTGTAAAGAGCAAAAGAACAAAGCTTCCACAGTGTGGAAAGGGACCTGAGTGGCCTGCCCCTGGCTGACTCGGGCAACCTGCTTTTATTCCTTTATCTAGCCCCACCCACATCCTGCTGATTGGTCCATTTTACAGAGAGCTGATTGATCCATTTTACAGAGAGCTGATTGGTGCATTTACAATCTGTGAGCTAGACACAGAGTGCTGATTGGTGCATTTACAATCCTTTAGCTAGACACAAAAGTTCTCCAGGTCCCCACTAGATTAGCTAGACACAGGGTGCTGATTGGTGCATTTACAAACCTTGAGCTAGACATAAAAGTTCTCCAAGTCCCCACCAGATTAGCTAGATACAGAGTGCTGATTGGTGCATCCACAAACCCTGAGCTAGACAAAGAGTGCTTATTGGTGCCTATACAATCCTCCAGCTAGACATAAAAATTCTCCAAGACCTCACCTGACTCAGGAGCCCAGCTTGCTTCGCCTAATGGATCCCATGCCAGGGCCGCGGGTGGAGCTGCCCACTAGTCCCATGCTGCACGCCTGCACTCCTGAGCCCTTGGGCGGTTGATGGGACCAGGCGCCGCAGAGCAAGGTGAGGCACCCATAGGGGAGACTCAGGCATGGCGGGCTGCAGGTCTCAAGCCCTGCCCCGTGGGAAGGCAGCTGAGGCCTGGCGAGAATTTGAGCATGGTGTGGGCAGGCCAGCACTGCTGGGGGACCCGGAGCACCCTCTGCAGCTGCTGGCCTGGGTGCTAAGCCCCTCACTGCCTGGGGCTGGTGGCACTGGCAGGCCACTCTGAGTGCAGGGCTGGCTGAGCCCGCGCCCACCCAGAACTCACACTGGCCTTCGAGCGCTGAGCGCAACCTGGTTCCCATCCGTGCCTCTCCCTCCATGCCTCCCAGCAAGCAGAGGGAGCCAGCTCCAGCCTCAGCCGGCCCAGAGAGGGGCTCCCACAGTGCAGTGGTGGGCTGAAGGGCTCCTCAAGTGTGGCCAGAGCAGATGCCGAGGCCGAGGAGGCGCTGAGAGTGAGGGCTGCTAGCACGTCGTCACCTGTCAGTAGGGTGGACATGTCAGGTTATAAACGACCCTGTCTCCCTTGTTCAGTGTACTCTAGTGGCAGAACTGCTGGTGAGTGTACCCTTTCTGCAGAGAGTAAAAATGCCCTTGCTGAGGAAATTATATTTACATTCAAGTAAATTTCTTTATGGCACTGGGGAACAAGCATTTCTAACAATTTTGGTGGAAATCCATACACAGATACATTCTCTTCCAGGGGCGGTCTCCAGTCCTTTCTCATGAGGGAGCATACTCCTCTGCCTTATTGCAGTGGCCTCAGGGATATGGAATTAAGGCCCACCTGGTGTGATGAATAAACCCAGACTCTCAGCAACGCAGGAAAAAAACACTGGCTGGCAATCTGGAGTAAAGCATCCTCACATATCACGTGAACCAGGAAACTCTGTGCACAGACTGAGGAAAAAAAAAAAAATACTGGGAGAGCTGGTAAAGTATTTCCTTGGTGGTGGGGACTAAGGAAAAAGTGGCAGGGTGGTAAAGTATTCCTTGGTTAAGACATACCAAGGAGAGAAATCGCAGGGGTGGTAAAGCATTCCTTAGTCAGGACTAGGGAAAGAAAGCCATGGGGAGAGGTAAAGTATTCCTTAGTCAGGATATCTTGGAGGTTAAAAAGAGGTGAGAAATCCCCATTGAGGGGGTTAAACCTTAAAAAGAGGTAAGAAATCCCCATGGCGGGGGGTTGAACCTCAAAAAGAGGTGAGAAATCTCCATTGGGGGGTTGAACCTCAAAAAGAGGTGAGAAATCCCCATTGTGGGGGTTGAACCTCACACAAATCTCTGGTAGTAAATATATATATATATTCAAAACTCCCCTTTCCTCTCTTCTTGGGGAAAGAAAAAGGCTAAGCTCCATTCCCACTGGTTGCTCCCCTAGGTGAAGGGGAAGGAGAGAGGGGAAAACAGCAGCATAGGTGGCTGGCAGAGGCAAAGGAAAGACCAGCAGGGAGTAAAAAGAAACCAGGAAAGGAAGTCAGAGAGAAAGAGAACAAAAACAGCAAGCAGGGAGCCAGACAGGTGCACAAAGGGTTAAGTTCCTCTCCCCAGCCCAGCTCTATGTGAAAAAGAGGGTGGGGAACGGAGCTGGAAGGAGAGCAGAGGAGGTGAAAGGGCATAATTCTTGCAATTTGCAGCAGGCATCTGCCAAGCCTCTGGGCCAGTGATGGCCTGGGGCCTGGACTGCAGCCCCACAAATCTCACCTAGCCAAGAAACTGAGTGTAGGAACAAAGGAGAAAAGTAAAAAGGGAAATTGGGAAAAGAAAAAAAAACCAGATGAAACAGATGAAACAGACAGCAGTGCGTGTGTGGGGGCGGGGCTCATGCCATTGCCCGGCTCCACCTGCCGCAGGACCAGGAGAACTCAGGAGGGAAAAAGGAAACAAGGGATGATGGGGAGAGAGAGAGAAAAAGAAAGTGCAAATGAGAGAGAGAGAAATGGGGGGAAAGAATAAGTAAGAGGGAAACTGGAAGAGACAGAAATCAAAGATACAGAGGGTGAAACTAGGAAAAGAAATAGTGTAAAAGGAAGGCAGAAAGTTAAGACATGTTGAAATTGTGAAAGTCATAAGAAAAGTTATAAAAGGGAATTTATGCAAGAAATATTGTATAATTTAAATGTAATTAGGCCTAGTGAATGTAAAACTATTAAAACAACAGTTTATGTACAAAGTATGTAAGAAAAATAAAATATGCTCTTAATAAAAGGATTATAAGGAGGCATAAGAATATGGATTTTTACCTACATTAAAAGGTTAAAAAAATTTTGTTTTAAAGCTGTAAGCAAGTTTTAACATGTTAATTATGAAGGAAATTCTGTGTGTAAACATTTTCGCTAAAGCTAAAGGGTTTATCATCCAGTTTTTCTGTGAACTGGACATTAAAATAAAAGCACAATAGATTTTTCTTAAATCACTAACATGCTCTTTCACAAAAATTTTAACATGTTAAAAAGAGGCTATAAAAATCTTACCTTATAGTCAGACATTAAAATGGGATGTCTACAAGATTTTATTAAAATTAAGTTTAACATTAATAGCACATTAATATAAAGGTAAATTTTATCTTATATGGTACAAAATCATACAAAAAACATTGTCAAATATAAAATGGTGTTTAGCTTTCTTAAGGCCCAAGGGCGGCTGGGTAAGTCACAAGCCCCTCATCCCAAAGGCCACAATGCGCAGGGGAGGTGAAGGCCACTAGAAGGCCAAGATCTTAAGAGGGGGCAGGGCCACAGCATCGCATGAGTGGTGCTGAGCAGGAATGGAGTGGGAGGCATCACCATGGGGCCTCAAGCCCCAGGATATGCAGCAAAAATTATGTACTTAATTTATCTTCCACTTTCCCTTCCCTGTGCTAAAAGTCTTTTAGCACAGGCACTACCCCTAGAATTTCCAGTACACCAGCACAAGCCTGGAAACCACATCCTTATCAAAAGACAGAAAGAAAAAAACTCGCGCCAGCCTGGGAAGGACCCTATTTTTTGCTGTTAACCACTGAGACTGCCGTCCGCACAGCCAAGAAAGGATGGACCCACCATACTCAAGTCAAGAAAACATCTTCTTCGTCAGAATCATGCGTTACTGTACTAGGATTAAGCCCTACTAAGTTAAAGTTAAAGAAAGCTTAATTTTCATATACCTTCTATATTGCTTCCTTTCCTTTCCTTGTTCTGTTACTAGCTCCTTTGTAACTAAGTCTGACTCACCTCAGACCATTGCCTTTAATGCTTGCTCTATCATACTTTGTGGAAATGTAAAAGATCAATGACTGCTAACCTTTTCACACAATTATTTATGCCCCAGCCCTCTAATTTACACAGTTACCCCTAGCACTCATTGTTGTGATCACCTGCAGCCAAGATGCTGATTTTCTGCTCCTATAGCCTGGCAACCTTGTAGTAAATGGGACTATGTCCTTTAAACTACTGAGAAGCAAAGTTGGACTTCCATGAAAAAGGTTTGTGCAGATCTAAAACCCCTCATCTATTTCATTAAAAGAACTGCCCCTTCTAATTGTCAGCCTTATCAATGTAACCCTGTCCTTCTCTCTATCACCACCTCCACCTTAACTAACTCTAGACCTGCCCTTAATTGCTTCTATGGTATTGGAATAGGAATTAAAGGAAATTAAAGAATGTGTAAGCAGAAACTCAGTTGTATGTAAGACAACCCAATTGCCCCTGAGAAAGAGAAAGAGCTGGAGTCCTTTAAAAATTAACTGCCTGTTTCTCTGTGGCTAGGGAGCCTTATCTCTCTTCCTTTCCCAGGCATTGTGAAGACCCTGTTTCTCTAGCTGTGCAGCTGCAGGTTCACTAGACAGATAAACTCAAGTCGTAAAACATGGTTTTCCTTGAAAAGTAAGAAATGCTGTAATGCACGTCTCAGTTAATTAAATAACTGTCCTTGTTTCTCACTCCTGTAATATGCTTCCCCCTTCACAGATCTCCACCCACCCCACAAAATGCTTAAAAGGTAACTTAACTGTTTGTTCAGGGCTCAGTCCTTTGGCTGTTAATCCGACTGGGCCAGTGCACTTAAATAATAAATATCTTCCTGAACCCCATTGGTCTCTGATTCCTTAAAACATCCCGTAACATTTCTGGGGACTCGCCTGGGATTGGAGACGACAGATTTACTGTTCCCTTTGCCTTCAGAACTAGAGCCCTGGGACCAGGGGAGACCTGGCATCTAAGACTTGCCACAGGGGAGCTTCACCTGGACAGAGACTGGCTCTCCTTGCATCCCACTGGCCTGCCTGGCAGTGCAACGGATTCGGGGACGGGGCTGCAGGACGATACCAGCACTTCAGGAACTGTGGTAAGGAGCAAGGGCCCAAGACAGGAAAGCCCGTCCCATAAGGATGAAGGAGAGCTTGGTTACCTCTCAGGGACCGACCATTAATCTAACCCAGAGTGGCTGGGGGCAGCAAGAGTGGCTTGCCAATTTGGATGAACCTCATGTCCCCACTAACAATGGAACTGGGAAAAGGGAGAAAATGGGCCAATACAGCGGCAAGTGTAGCAAGGTAGAGCTTGCTGGCAGGGTGGCAAGAGTGGCTTGCCACCCCAACTGGGAGTGTGTGGGTGCATGTGAACCTACCTGGGACATGAGAGAGGGTCGTTTTGTCCGATGAGGAGTCCTGGGATAGGAGTGGTGTGTGTATATGTGTGAATGTGGGAGCCTAACTAGGCTCACCCGGGACACGAGAGGCGCTTGTTTCATCCGATGAGGAGTCCTGGTGCAGGGGAGGTGTGTGAAAGTATGAGAAAGAGATAGTCTCGGGAGAGGCCAATGTGGGGAGTGATGTGGGGAGGCACAGATCCCTTAGCATGGGCTGTGTGCTCCGAGGCGAGTGTGGGGGAAATCAGACCTACAACACTGTATATAGCTGATAAGACCAGCTTCACAGCCACAGCAGGCTGTGACAGGGGAATGCACGTTCCTGGCTAAGCAGTGTATGAAACTCCCATAATAGGACCCGGTCTGGTGGACCCAAGGGTGAAAGTGAGAGTGAAAGTGCACTGCAAGGGTGGAAATGGGAGGGAAGGCATTGAAACTAACTCCTTTGGAGTGCATGATATAGAGTTTTAAAAAAGGATTTAGAGGTGATTATGGGATGAAACTGGATGCTCTAAAGCTAAGGACATACTGTGAAATAGATTGGCCTGCTTTCAATGTGGGGTGGCACCTCTGAAGGTATAATAGACAGGGAATTAACTGGCCATGTGTTTAAGGTGGTCACTGGAGTTCGAGGACAACCAGGATACCCAGACCAGTTTCCCTATATAGACTCTTGGCTCCATGTGGCACAAAGTCGCCTCAAGTGGCTACAGCCCTGCCTAGAGGGATATTGCAAGGCATTAGTGGCTCGTGCAGCCCAACCAAAGGAAGCAGAGGAACCGAAAGCCCCTAGCGTCTCCCAGGAAAAGGAATCCCTGAAGCCTCAGCCGAAACCAGTTCTTCAGGCCCTACCTGAGGAAAGGGAATGTCTACCCCCATATGTGCCAGTCTACCCGTCTTTGACCAGAATAAGGCAGGAGGCAGAGTCAGGAGTGTCTGTAGAGTTGGGCTCAGAGGAAAGTGAGGCTCAATCTCCCCCCACAGAGGATCAGAAGCCCCCATTAGAAAAAAACAAGGAAGATGGACAGGGCGAGGCAGCTGGGTGCCTCTGCTCAGGCCGACCACGGGCTTTGCAGATGCCACTTCGAGAGACCAGGACACAAGTTTATGATGCCCAGAGGCAGATACAAGCTGGCCCTAGGCTTTATGTTTATCAGCCTTTCTCCACTACTGATTGCTTACATTGGAAACAGCACACCCCCTCCTACACAGAAAAACCTCAGGCTCTCACTGATTTGGTGAATTCTATTATTATGACACATAACCCAACCTGGCCAGACTGTCAGAAACTTTTGCTAACATTATTTAATACAGAGGAGCATAAGAGAGTTAATCAGGCAGCTCTCAGCTGGTTACAAGGGGAAGCCCCAGAGACCACCCCTAACCCGTGCCAGTTCACCATGGAGTGATAACCAGATGAGGACCCTAACTGGGACCCAAATGAGGCAAGGGACATGGAAGGGCTGCAGCTATGTAGAAAGGCACTCCTGAATGAGATAAAAGCAGGAGGGAGGAAGGAAGGCAATAAATATGAGCAAAATATCAGAAGTATGCCAAAAGCCTGACAAAAGCCCAAATGCATTTAATGAAAGGCTTTGTGAGGCCTATAGGCTGTACACTCCAATTATTCCAGAGGCTCCTAAAAACTGAAATATGATAAATATGGCATTTGTCAGGCAAGCTCAGGGAGACATAAGACAAAAACTTCAGAGGCTGGAAGGCTTTGCAGGGAAAAATATTAGTGAACCCCTGGAAATAGCAAACAAAATATACATAAACCAGGAAGAAAAGGTGGAGAGAAAGGAAGAAAGAAAAACCAGAAATAGAAACAAAGAGACAGCTCAATTTATAGCTGCTGCACTAGCAGAAAGTAACCCTGGATTTGCTAGAGGGCGAGGCTGAGGCAGAGACTGAGGAAGGGGGCAAACAAGACTGGGAGATGAAAGCCGGTTCCAGTTGGACAGGAACCAATGTGCAAGGTGCAGGCAAATGGGCCATTGGAAAATGAGTGCCCTGAAAAGGAAGAGGATGGAGATGACGGTCAATGGCCTAACACCCGAGTGCGGCATTCGGTTGCTAGTTGTGGTGCTTCAAAGGCAGATCCTGATCTGATCGGCCTAGCAGGGGCCGAGAATTTTGAGGACTGAGACAGACCAGGCTCCATCATTTTAGGCCCCCGGGGAGCCTATGGTCTCTATGGAAGTAGGGGGCCAATTAGTGGATTTTTTTGGTCGATACTGCTGCTGATTTCTCTGTGGTAACTCACCCAATTAGCCCCCCACAAAGAACTGTGCTACTATCGTAGGTGCTACTGGGGCCAAAGAAAAGAGACCTTTCGAAATCCAGGAGATGCGTTATTGGGGGACAAGAAGTGCAGCATGTGTTTCCATATATGCCAAATTGTCCAGTGCCCTTGATGGGGAGAGACTTACTCCAGAAACTGCAGGCACAAATTTCCTTTACACCTAAAAGGAGTATGACCTTGGAGATAGGGAAGCCAAAGGCAATGGCATTGCCTTTGTCCCAAGAACTGAGGAATGGCGGCTCTATGCACTGTATACCAGGCGGCTGCCAGAGCCGGACCTACACAATATGTGGGGAATGCTTTTCAAGGTATCAGGTGTATAGGCTAAGGACAACACCCCTGGACTTGCTGCAAACAGATCCCCAGTGGTAGTAGAGCTTAACCCTCATGCTGCCTTGGTACGAGTCCGTCAGTACCCACTACCCAGAGAAACAATTGAAGGCATAACAAAACATCTCAATCGGCTCTATGAACATGGGGTTATAGTGAAATGCAAGTCCTCCTGGACTACTCCTCTGCTGCCTGTGCGCAAACCAAATGGTGAATAAAGGCCAGTGCAGAAACTCCGGGCGGTAAACAAGGCCACTGTCACTATGCATGCCATAGTACCCAACCCATACACAAGGTTGCGACAGATTCCTGCTGAGGCCACGTGGTTCACGTGTCTGGACTTAAAGGGCGCTTTCTTTTGCTTGAGGCTTGCTCCCTAAAGTCAGCCTACATTTGCCTTCCAGTGGGGGCAATCGCAGTATACCTGGACAAGGCTGCCTCAGGGGGTTAATAATTCTCCCACTATCTTCAAGGAGGCTTTGGCTACCCATCTTGAGGCTTTTGCGCCACCTAGTGACAACTGTGGGCTATTACAACACATTGATGATTTGCTATTTTCTGCCCCCATGAGGGAGGAATCACTTCACGGAACAGAGAGGCTTCTTCACCTGCTGTGTGAAGCTGGTTATAAAGTGTCCAACGACAAGGCAAAAGTCTGTTTTCAGGAGGTTGGATGTCTAGGATTCATGATATCCCAAGGCCAGCACAGGCTTGGAAGTGCACGCAAGGAGGCTGTGTGTGCACTGACCACCCCAGTTACAAGGCAGCAGGTCAGGGAATTTCTAGGCATGGCGGGATTCTGCCAAATCTGGGTTCCAGATTTATAGCAAGGCCCTTGTATGAGGCTATAAAAGGAAAGGAAAGAGAGCTCCTCCTATGGGAAAAGGAACAGGAAAAGGCCTTCAAGGATATAAAGGGAGCTCTCATCCAGGCCCTGGCACTAGGGTTGTCAGATGTAAAAAAGCCCTTCTTTCTGTATGTGGATGAATGAAACGGAATGGCAGTCAGAGTCTTAACTCAGTTGTTGGGCTCTTGGCATCAGCTGGTAGCATACTTATCCAAAAGACTGGACTTGGTGGCTTTAGGTTGGCCCAGCTGCCTCAGGGCATTGGCAGCTACTGCAATCCTTATAGAAGATGCCAATGAGCTAGGCTTAGGTCAGAAGTTAATAGTTCGGGTGACACACGCTGTAGTCACCTTAATGGAGCAAAGAGGACATGGTTGGCTGTCCAACTCTAGAATGCTTAAGTATCAAGGGCTTCTATGTGAAAATCCCCAGATAACACTAGAGAATATAAATACCTTGAACCCAGCTACCCTGCTGCCTCTGGAGGAGCCTGATTGGAAGGATGGTGGGTTGCATCACTGCTGGCAGGACTTTTCCCACTGTTGCATAAAGATTGTGGATGAAGTGTTCTTGAGCCAGGAAGACCTCAGAGATACTCCCTTGGAGAGCCCAGATGTTAAATACTTCACTGATGGCAGCAGTTTCATAACACATGGGGTGCAATATGCAGGGTATGCAGTAGTGACCCAACACTCGGTGGTCGAGGCTCAAGCCTTACCTTCTTGGACCTCCACTCAGAAGGCTGAATTAATAGCATTAACCAGAGCACTGTTATTGGCCAAGGGGAAGAAAGTAAACATATAGACTGACTCTAAATATGCTTTTGCAACTCTGCATACCCATGGAGCGATATACAAAGAGAGAGGACTTTTGACTACCGAAGGAAAAGAAATAAAAAACAGAGAGGAAATTTTGCAATTATTAGAAGCCATATGGGCTTCAGAGAAGGTGGCTGTCATTCATTGCAAAGAACACCAAATTGGGAAAAGCTATGAGGCACAGGGCAACAGAAAGGCAGACCGAGAGGCTCGGCGGGCAGCAATGAGCAAGGCTTTACCTGAAGAAAGAACTCTAACAATGCCTCTCCTTATAGAGCCCCCTTTGCTGGAGGTACCCCATTAACTCTTCAAGTGAAAAAGCTTGGTTTGTTCTGGAAACAGGGAAGTACATTAAAGGTGAATGGTGACTGTTCTCTGACAGGAGGTTAGCCGTCCC